TAAAGTAATTGAACTCATAAAAAAAATTTTTTTCTGCCTGGGGCAGGGAGAAATAAGGAGCTGTTCAATGGATATAGAGTTTCAGTCATGCAAGATGAAAAATTTCTAGAGATATGTTGTACAGCAATGTACAAATAGTTAACGATATTACATATTATAGGGCCTCCCCAGTGGCGCAGCAGGTTGAGCGCCATGCTGTGAAGCTGTCCACAGCCTCTGCAGCGCAGGTTCGATTCCCGGCCGGTTAGAGAGAAACCCACATGGCTCAGCAGACCTCTCCTGTCTTGCCCGCTGCTCCCCTCAGCAGTGTATTTCAGTCAGTCTGCCTGTTCTGTTCCCTGCTCTGTCTCTGGTGAATCCTCTCACCCTCTGCATCTCTGGCGTGTACCCCAGTTCTTGTATGCATAAATAAATAAATCTTAAAAAAAAAAAATACATGGCAGCTTTAGCAGCACACTGTATATTTTTAACTAAGAATCACAAGGCCCAGCTCTATGACTTAATAACTGCACAACCTCTAATAAAATTGCTTCTCCTCTCTGGACCTTATCTCTAAAGGGAGACAATAACATCTACCTTATGGAGTTTAATGAGCATCCAGTGAGATAAATGTTATAGCAGATAGGACAGTGATTAAAAACAGAATCTGGCACAAGACAAACCTGTGTTCAAATCCTCTCTCTGCCTAGTTTTAAGATCATGGCCAAGCACATCACTCTCAAGTCCTTCCCCTGAACATGGAATTGATAATATTCCAAGACCACACCTCCCCAGAGTGGTGTGAAGACTCAATGAATAATGCATGTGTGATGCTGAGCTCCATTTAAAGTATTCAAAACCAACAGCTCCAAAAAACTGTGTCTACAGGAAATCAAGCCTATATCCTGCTTAGATCAAATCTAATGCTTCTCAAAATACACGTCAACTACTCATATCAATTAATTCCAGCTTTAAGCCAACTACATCAGGCTTTCAAATAGATTAGTAGTTAACCCTGTGAGCTCCTGGTCACCAATTTTTTTGTGCGTGTGTGGGACCCTTGCCGGAGGCCGGGGATCGAACTGGCGCTGCAGAGGCTGTGGGCAGCCTTGCAACCCAGTGCTCAACTGCTGCGCCACGAGGGGAGGCTCCTGGTCACCAATTTTTATGGAGCTGAAAGGCTACCATCCTATTCTTGCCAGGACAATTAATTTCATCTCCTTGAAAGTTTACTCCTGTAACATTCTCATTCATAAAATAAAATAAAATAATAATACCTACCTCATGAGTTGTTTTGGGATTAACTAGGAAATACCTGATCTATAACAAGGATTCGATGAATATAAGCGACTATTAGTCTTACTTCTGTACCCTAGCAAGAATTCGAGGTGCCGCTTCTGGTTCCCATAACAGAGCATTTCATGTTGTATTTTAAAAGTTGATTTCTCTCTCCTGGGCTAAGAACTCCCTGGGTGCCATTGTCAGTCGGCATTACAGGACATGCTATACAGCAAACACTAAAGAAATATTTACTGGAAAGATACACACACACAGTCATGTCTCTCGTACTTCACTTCCAAATCCTTACACTCTATCTAGCCCTTAGATTCCCAAGGTCATTAAAACTACATAGCTTAATCATTCCCCTTCTGTGAGTTCTCATTTTCTCATCCAGAAATGGGAATAATATCAACCTTGCCCTTACAGGATAGCCCTGAGGTTGAAGGCAGATAAGCTTCTAAAGTACTTGGCATATAGTAAATGCTCAATAAACGAGTTACTGCCTGTTCTCATCTCCTCTGTTGCTTGACATTTGTGCCCTGTCTTTGCTGACCACATTCTCTAAAGAGGCCCCTGATGGAGTGGTTTCATTACTATTTCTGCAAGAAGCACAGGAATTTGAGGGAGCAAATTTAGAAATAAATGGCTAGACCTCTGGTGAATTCTGCACTGGGCTCCCGAAAGCTTCCTCATGGCAAAGAGTTGAGCAACCTGCCAGCTACATTTGCTGATGAATGAATGGAGCTCCTTGTCTGGGGAAAGGTCAGGGAGAGGGTCTAGGGCCCAGAGATAGGGGTATCCTGGGTACCAGTCAGAGTTTCCCAATTTTTCTTCTCCCTGGAGCCTCCACACAGATACCAGCTGTGTATATTACTTTGATGAGACTCAGACTCTGCTCAGCCAGCCCAGGACATCCCTGTGGAGGTAGGGGACCCTTAACCTGGCCTGGGCCTCCCCTTCTGGGTCCTAGGACCCACATTATCTGTCTGATTCCTCCTCCCCCTCCCTGCTTCCTGAAGTCATTCAGTCCAGGGAAGAGGAAGTAGGGAGGTCCATCCTCCTCTGGGCACATCCTTGTTTTACCAGGCCTCTTCCCAGCCAGGGTACTCCTGAGTCCTCCTTCCACCCTCATGGCCAGCCCAGGGCCTGGCCCAAGAGTAAACATAGGGCACAGGGCACAGGTCCTGAGGTCACATAGACCCAGATCTGTGCCTGGTATTGCTCCTTCCTAGGTGATTTTTGACTCTCAAAATCTCCTTTCTTCATTTGCAAAATGGCAATAATAGAAGCTTTCCTCAAATGAGCAGTAATAAAAGCAGAACAAAGCAATTTATGCTCATGATATTGCTCAATGAAATGTAAGCTCCCCTTCCCCCTCCCCCATCTCACAAGATGCTTGTTTAATGAATAAACAAGCAAAAGAATCCAACATACACCAAACAATCGTATTTTCTCCTCTGGAAGAAGCAACAAGCGGGGCTGAAATCACAGAACTGGGCTCCGGGGGTCTGGGCTCTGACGTCAACCAGGCATCCACCCTCCACAGTGGATCTCTTCCCAACTCTGAGCTGGGAAAATGGGTAAAACCACCACTACCACCCACCCACCCATCCATATACCCACTTATGCCCTTATTGTGAAAAGGAAGGAAGATTGTTATAAGTATAAAAGCTGTAGTAAACAGGAATGGGCTTGATAAACTGAAATTGACTTTACTGTAAAGGGATTTGCACAACTTTTTGCCATGTTTCTTCCATTAGCTAACTGAGCTCAACTACATACCCAGGCCTTGAGGTTGCTATGAGGGGGTGGGGAGAGACTGCTGCATAGCTCTCTCTCTCTCTCTCTCTCTCTCTCTCTCTCTCTCTCTCTCTCCCTCATGCACGCACGCACACATGCACCCACACACACGCACACACACGCACATTCACAGGTTGGACATGCTCTGGGCACATGTGGATGTGACCAGAGACAATGCCCCACTCACCCCACACAAGACACACACACACAAAGACCCACAGAATCACACTGTCAAGTGACCCACAATGGTTGGTGGCAAAGCGGTTGCCCTCGGGGCTGAGCGCCTGCCCTCCTGGGAACTGCGTCCATTCCTAATGTAGACACTGTCCCTCAGGACTGCTCAGGGCCTGCTCCCAAGCTATAGCTTAGCTGTTGTCTCCTCCTGAGCCCAGTTTTGGGGGCCTGGGTGGAGAAGCAGTATGGGAAAGGACAGCTGCCACTGAAAATGAAGAGCAGCCCCATCTCCATAAAGAGGAGGATGTCTCTCCATAAGGGTCTCCCTATGAAAGAACAAGACCCCAGACCCCCATCACACCCCCTCTTTCCCTGACATCAACCAGGAGTGAACACTGAGTCCTGGAGGCACATTTTGTCAATAATGTCACAGTCAAATTCCTTACCCAAAACTTCATGGACAGATGGGGACACTGAGGCCCAGAGAAGTGAAAGGATTTGTGTGAGGTGGTGAGGCCTGCTCAGGGTGAGGCCAAAACGACGGGCCAAACACACTCCTCTTCTTTAAGGCAGCGTCAGTGTTGGGGGTCACACACGGCTCCAATTTGAACAGCATCTTGCAATGAACAAAGCACCATCCTACCCAGCTCTTACTTCTCCCGACAACTCACAAGCTCAGGACTTTAAACCCCAACTTGCAAAGGAGGAAAGTGAGGTTCTAAGATCCCATCTTTTAAGTAAAAGCTAAAACCAAAGGCTTGAGTACAGAGAGAGCGCACAAGAGGGGAGGGAAGGGAAGAGGAGGGAGAGGAGGAGAGAGGGGGAGGGGAGGGGAGGAGCAAAAGGGCGCAAGGAAGGGGGAGGGGGGGAGGGGACAGTGGAGGGGGAGGGCAAGCAGGGGAGGGGAGGAGGGGGAGAAGGGGTAGAGACTGGGGCACACATCTCAGGCCCCAGGGCTATTCCCCTTCAGAGCTGCTGTCTTTCCTTAGTTGGGTTGTCATGTCTCTTTCTTTTGCTCTCACCCCACCGCTACCCCAAACACAGACAGACAGACAGACAGACACACACACACACACACACACACACACCCCAATAAGCTGGAACACAGCTGTGTATTTAGCCAGAGCCCCCTGAGGCTTGGGGAAGGAATGCTGGCTCCATCACAGGTGAGGCCTGGCCATGGTGAGTCACCAGGCTCACGCCTGGACCTCCTGCCAGTGAAGAGCAGGATTCCAGCCCAGGCCTCCTCTCATCACCCGGCATGCATGGGGGAAAGCGGCTGTGGGCCAGGTCCCTGGTACCATAACCTGGGTATCTGCATCCCTGGGAGAACCTAGCACCTAGAGCGTCCCTAAGTTCCCATCCCAGTAGCAGACCCTTTACCTCTCCCCAGAATCCCACAAGGGACATGGCTTTATCTTCATTTGACAATGTAGGAGACTCGAGGTGCAGAGAGTGGGTACAACTTGGCCAAGGTCATGAAGGACATGGCACCCAGCTCCCTGAGATCTAGGGGACTCCTCTCATCAGCCTCACTCCCCCCACCCTGTCGCTGAGGTCACTTCAACACTGTCTCAGCCTCAGAGAACCAAAGAGGGGAGCTGGACTCCCTAGGAAAGTTGAGATGCTGGGTCTGAGGAAAACACCCAATAATCCCTTAACAATGAAACCACCCTTTCCCTGGGTGCAGACTGGGGTCATGTTCTTGCTCCCCTAAGAACATTTTCATAGCCTCCCCAGAGCCCACCAGCATGGGTACACCTTACCTGTACCGGGGTGACAGCTGCAGCTGTGGAGCTGGGGTGTCTCTGTCTGCAGACCCAACCTCTGTGCTGCCTGGAGATTGCAGAAGTGAGGAAATAAAGCAACTGCTGCCAAGTCACCCTGGAGGGAAATGCCGTGACCGTGGGGCTCCCACAGCTACAGGAACCCCCAAGTTGGGTCATCACAGCCTTAAGCACTGCTTGGGGGTTTCTCAGAGCAAGGATGAGGGTGAGGTTTGAGGCAGCTGAGGTGAGGGAGAGAGAAGTGGGGGAGAGAGAAAGAGAAAGAGCAGAAATGAGTGACCCAGAAAACAGACTACAAGAGGGAAAAAGGAAAAAACAGTAAGAAAAACCAGAGGGCAAATGGTGAGATCAGGGCACACAGAGAGGCAGACAGACATAAGCAGAGAGAGCCTGAGAGCATGGAGCAGGCAGAGGACAAAGACCAAGGGAGTTAAAAGAAAAAGATAAGCGGGACAATGAGTGTGTGCCTGCGTGTGCTTGTGTGTGTCAGTGTGAGCGGGTGGGGGCGGGGAGGAGGAGGGACAGTTAGACGGTGACAGGGACAGGAGGAGGGGCGCAGAGGACCTGCTCTGACCCCTGGCGTGATGGGCTGGGCCTCCCCAGAGAGCAAGAAGCTCCAAGCCCAAGGGACCCCTGGGCACCGAAAACTGCAGGGTTGGGGAGGAGAAGCGACTTAAGACCCTGAGCAGCATGTAAATTAGGGGGCATGAGTGAGGGTGAAAAGTTGTGGGCAGCTTGAAGAGTGAAAATATGAATTTGCAAGTGAGAGAGAGAGAGAAAGAAAGAGAGAGCAAGAGAGAGAGAGAGAGAGAGAGAGAGAGAGAGAGAGAGAGATGTTAGGTGGAGGCTCCATGTGTACGTAAGTAAGGGATGGCCAGAAAGCCCTGGTTTCCATTCCAATTCATTTACTCATTCATTGATTCATCCAATGAACATTTATTGAGCACCCCCAGGGGCCAGGCACTGTTGTGATCTGCTGATAGCTGAGCAAGCCCCTCACCTCACACCCTACTACACTGAGAAGGAAACAGCAAGACACAGCGAGGCAGGTGCAAAGCAGAGCCAGGAGCCTTGCTTCCCAGGTAGACTACGGACAGTGCAGCCTCAGCTCCCCCCAGGGTCTGCTCCTGCTGGTGGGCCCCGCTGCTGCCGTCCTCAAGGCCAGAAACGACACCGTCTCAGGGGACAAGTGATTTTTCACATGTGCCTCAGCCCTAAAAACTAGAACCAAAAAATGGCCCCCTCCCCTGACTGCACCCCAATCACCCACAAATAGATACACTCAAACCACTTACACATGTTCCCTTGCACACTCATGTGTACTCAATACACACTATCATGCAAAGGCACCTACACAAAACTCCATCCCTCAACTCACTCGTACACTCACACACTCAGATACACACGTTGTCAGCCTCACTCACATCTGCACTTCCTCCTGGTGCCTCCTCTGCACACTTTACACACACGCGCACACACACACACACCACCCACCCTCCTCAAATCCCAACATGGGGTCTCTCCTGTTAGGGACTTTTAGAGACTCAGCTCGCCTTATCTCCCGTAGAGGCCTTTGAGACTTCAATGGGTTTATATATTTCCCCCCCGCAGTGGATGTTTTTCAGTATTTATATTTCCCATAGAATTTATCTTTTTTTTCAATCATTACATTTTCTTTCAATCTTTGAAAATGATTCCAAATTGTAAAGTGATAAAAATTAGAAAACACTAATATAGAACTCAAAGGGAAAAGCTGAGAAGAAAAAGAATAAAATGTGCCACACAAAATTCATCTGTCACTGATAAAAACAATGAAAATGAGCAAGAAAAATAGTTCATCAAATCCACAATCTAATAATCACCCCAAATGCCTGAAATTTCATATTTTTTACTACAATGTTTTTCCCTCAAGTTTTATTAATCTGTCAGTCATTTACATATATTGTATATATTTATATATATAACTTTTGGGGTACATTTTTACCCCTCCAAATATGCACATGCTTCACCCACCCTCCACCATATTTGATATATTAAAGTTCCTTCATCAAATAGGCTTATCTTAAAAGTGAAATAAACTTACTTCAATCTTTAAATGATGCTAGAAGATGACAGATGAGACAGAGAGCACCCGTGTCCACTCTGACACATTTCACTGACTCTACTACTATGGCCCTGGCCCAAGGCTCCACCCCCTCTCACCTGGGTGTTGCCCCCTCTCTGGTGTCTCCCCTTCCACCCTTCCACCCCATCTGGTTCCCCTTCTCTAGTTGCCCTGGTCTGTTATCCTTCCTCAAAACAGCAGGTACATGCCCACCTCAGACCCTGCACCTCCTGCCCTTTCTGGAACACTCTCCACAGACATCCAGAGTTAGGCAAATGCCACATCCAGAGTGACTCAAATGCCACTTTCTCAAGAGAGGCCTTTCCTGAAAACCCTGAGGGATGCAGCCACCTACCCTGCTTTACTTTTCTCCTCAGCACTAACCACATGGAACACATGATGTATTTGACTTACTTTGCTCACAACTAAATTATAGATTTTTGAGAGCAGGGATTTGTTTATTCCTGTATTCCATCAGCTGGAACCCTGTGAGATGAAGCTTATTGAATGAATGAGTGAGGTTAGAGAGAGGAAGTGACTCATCTAAGGTAACACACCCAGCCCATGGCAGAACTAGAATTAGGACCCAGAAACCCTAAGGCTTAACGGAATCCTGCACAACTGTTCTAAGTGCTTTGTTAACTCCATTCTGTCTTCTTAATCTGTCCCTCACATCTCTGTAAGCAGTTCTGTAGATGGAAGATAATGTGGGAAGACACCACTGGGAAAAGAGTATGCGTTTTAGAGTGAAAGGGATTTGAATTTAATCTTAACTGCCACGAACTCTCTATGTGAACTTAGAAAAACCAATATATCCCTTCAAGCTTCAGTTTCTTAATCTGCAAACTGGGAGTAAGAGTACCTCACTCTGTTGTGAAGACTGAAACCAAAAAAATTTATGAAGATTAAAAAGGAAAAGAAAAGGGCCTCCTTGGTGGCGCAAGGGGTTAAGCACCGCACTATGAAGAAATTCGCAGCCTCTGCAGCACGAGTTCAATCTACAGCCATCCAGGAAGCAACCCACATCGCACGCAGACCTCTCCTGTCCTGCCCACTGCTCCCCTCAGCAGTGTGTTTCTTCAGTCTGCCTGTTCTGTTCCCCACTCTGTCTCCAGTGAATCCTCTCACCCTCCCGCACATCTGGCCTGTACCCCAGTTCTTGTATAAAAAAATAAAATAAATCTTTTAAAAAAAAAAAGAAAAAGAAGTAAACAAGGACAAGACGGATGGATAGCTGTAACACGTTCACACATGGGAATGTCAATATTATAATAAAAGTTCTTCCCAATTTAATCCATAAATTTAATGCCAGTTCAATCAAAATCCCAATAGATGCTAATTAGCTAGATGATAGGTGTACTTTCACAATGTATCTGTATATCAAATCACCATAATGTACACTTTAAATAGCTTCCCTTTTTTTTTTTTTTTTTTGGTCAATTATACCTCAATAAAGCTGGAAAGCAAAGAACAATAGTGTATATTTTACACTTGGAGGGAAAAAAAATCAACACAGAACTTTACAAGCTGAACCTAAAATTCCAATTGAAAAAGCAAAGAGCCAAAATTAGCCAACAAATTTTTGAAGAACAAGGACATATAAAGAATAAGAACATATGATATTCCGTATTATATTCCAGTTTTAATATAAGGTTACAGTGTTAAAATGGCTGGTTTGTTTGTTTTTTTGAACTAGCATATAGGTTTATAGCATTATATAGGTTTCAGGTACACAGCATTATAATTCAACATCTGTAATGCTACTTTTGCTCCCAATCAAAAGTCGAGATTCCATCCACTACCTCAAAATTGATGCCCTTTACTTGATTTATCTCTATTCCTCCCCCACTCAAGTGACCACCATTTTGTTCTCATGATCCAAGAGTTTGTTTTTGCTTTGCTTTGCGTGTTCATTTGTGTTCCTTCTTTTTTTCTCACCTGCCCTCTTCTTTCTTCTTTCATTTTTTTAAAGTTTCAGATACACAACTTTAAATTTTGACATCTGTATGTACTACAATATTATCACCACCAAAAGGACAGGGTGGTATTAACAAGGGGACAGGCAAATAGTCCAAAGGAACAGAATAGAGTTCCCTGAATCAGAGCACATATATGGAGCTTGGCATATATGACAGGTGGCCCTTACACATCAAGAGAAGAGTAGATATTGGTGCAAGTCACTGGCTATCCATTAGGGAAAAAATAATAAAATTAGATCGGATCCCAACTTCACACCACATCCAGAATTAAATTCCAACTGGCATAAAGACCTTACTACGAAAAACAAAATATAAAAGGTTTTGGATGAAAATAGGGAATATTTTGCTGATTTAAGGGTAGGGAAACTTTTCTTACATTAAGACATAGACATTAAAATAAAGAAAAGTTGGGTACACATGACCACATAAAGTTTAAACCTATATACATCAAAAGACATAATAATGGGGAAGAACAAAGTCACAGAGATATCTGCAACACATACATTGAAGAATTTTCAGGCATAACATAATATAAATTCTGACAAATCAATAACTTAGACAAGTCCTATAGAAAAATACACCCTAAAAGGAACAGGTAATTAACAGGGAAAAAAAAAGACTGACTAAGAAACAAAAATATGATCAATGTTTTGGGAAATCAGGTGCTCAAATTAGTCAACTGCCAGATTTGAAAAAGTCTGCCAATTCCAAGTATTAGAAAGGATGTAGAACCATGGAAAATTCTCAATGCTAAAAAAAGAGTATAAATGGCCCCATCATTTTGGATATTAATTTCATCTTAAAGTTGGAAATATACACCTCCTTCCTTGGCACATACCAGGAATAGTAACATTTCCTTGCATATAAGGAAATAAATATAATCCATATACATGTTAAAATGAACAACTACAAGTCATAATATGGATAATAAAAAAACATAA